GTATCATTTTCGTTTTCGATCTTATCGTTTGGCTACAAGACTGTGTCAGGTCGACAACACGTCTGTTTTTTTTTTTTTAATCTTTGATTCTAACGAATAGTAACGAATAGTTATGACCAACATCAATGAGCCTTCATTAGCTTTACTTTTATCTTTTTTATCGCTTCAAACGTTTCTAGACTTCTTTTTCATGTCATTGCGACGTACAATATTGCAGTAACTTTTTCATGGGCTTTTCCTCACATCCATTTAGAGTAAACAGTTTTTTTTTTTTCATCTAATCGTTTGTTTGTTCGTTTGGCTATCAGAGCAAATTCAGCTTACGTCATTTTTCTTGTCTTAATTTGTTATTATTATTATTATTATTATTATTATTGTTCGTTGTTTTGTTTTTCTTCTTCGTCATTTACTCCTCCTCCTCCTCCACCTTCTTCTTCTTCTTCGTCTTCTTCTTCTTCATCTATATTCCGTGTTCATTTATGGTGTGGCTGATCATGTCTCAGTATAGCTACCAATCCTTTATATGTCAGCCACTTACAAAAGTCGTTAGCCCTTTTCATACTGTTCATCATTTTTTTCTTATTCATTTTTTTCTACTTCTTTACATGTCACCATGATATCCGCCTTTCATATTTGGTTGCTCGACGATCTAACCGCTTATATTATCCGGATCAACAGACATGATCATTCCTCAATATAATATTATGCTTCACTGCTTCAACAAGGAACACTCCTCTTTTCTTTCTTAACTCCTGTGTGAAATTATATTTTCCCTCACAATATCCAACTCCCGTGTAGCCATGTGCATTTTGTTTAGTGCGTTAACGTCAAAACAACGTCCGAGGTTGATATCTAAACCTTTTTCTTTCCGTTATCAATAACATGGTGATTATTGTTTTCTAAAATCACTTCAGGCCTCCAATGGAACTCATTCATGCGATTAGTTGCTAATGATGCTAGAAAAATGGCTGGTTCATTCTACTGTTCCTTCCTCTATACACAATCTTTACAAGAGTCAGATTAGAGCAAAATTAAGTATTACTACTGTGTAAGGGTTAAAGTTTTCCAATACTCACTTTCCAGTCTTAGTAGAGTTTAATGTCTTTTATGCGGTTTTGTTTGACATCGACAATTTTAAACTCAACAGCCTATTTTACACACACGTTTCGTCAATAGCCTAGCCATAGTCTACGGGTATTTCATTGGCAAATGTTCAGATGAGCTCTATCTTTTAGATCCACGAATTCATAACTTTGTAGCTGGGATTCTCCGTGCTGACTCCAAATTCTTGTTTAAATAATGCAAATGTGAGAATAACCCTAACAGATATATTTAACAAAATTACAGAAAAATATCTTGAAATACTAAAGAGTAGATTTATTCAGTAAAATCGCTATTGTCTTCTACCACGGCTTCCAGAAAACTTTGGAATCTCGTGCATCGCTTCTGGATGGTCTCCTTGATTAAGTTGATGAATGCTTCCAATATCTTTGCCTTCAGTTCATCTTCTGTGTTAGAAGGAGTTTCGTTAATCTCTCGCTCAACTGAGTCCTGCATATAATAATCCAGGGGGTTGCAGCCTGGGGAGTTAGGTGGCTAGGTGTAAGGGGTGAAGTGGTCACCGAAATTGCTTAACGGTCCTGTATTCTCCTGTTTGTGCGGCATGGTGGAGAGTCCTGTTGCCAGACATAGGGTCTTCCAGAAGACACCCTCTTGACTCAGGGCAGTACTACCTCTTGAATGCACTTGATTTAGGCTTCCGTGTTGAATCTGCGGCCCTTGCCAACAAATTCGGGAATTTTTTTTCATCACAACAATCAGAGTAAGTTTTCTGATCTGCTGTACCTTCGTACTCACAATTAGACTCATGCAACTCTTTCCGAATCCTCTCCCGAGGTTGACAGCCAAACACTATGAATTATTCGTATTGGAGCTTTCGGCGTGATTCCTAAGAACTACAGCATGCCGTTTCCAAATTTCTGGCGAATGAATTATGTCATGGTGCTCTTTTTCTCACATACTGACCCTACCATACTGTACAGTCGACAAAATCAAAAACAAAGTGCATGCGCAAACTTAAAAATATAAATGGGCGTCAATTTACTCATCTAACCATGTACATCTGTAGTTTACGCCTTGCAAATGAGAACAACATTAATATATTATATGCTTAAATGAAATGTTAAACTAGTTCAGTCTTAGTTACTGAGGCCCACTTATATAGACCATTCTGATAGCCTAGACTTCCTGCCTTGAAAAGCTTCGTGTATAATACCATTTTTTTATATTTAACAATTATATTCCTTCATCGCCGACCGGAAGCGGAACTATCTTCAGGGAGGCCCCATATCTTGGCTGCGTATTGGGCCACAGTCTCAACCCAGACCTCAAGTGAGACTTGTACATACAAGCTATCACTAAAGATCCGGAAGAAATGGTCGTTTCCCTGAACCGCTTCACTAATTAGCTAACAACTTGTTCTATACTCTACCTTTAGAAGATCAGCGCTAATATGGAGTACTGTCACAACAAAGAATATTTTTCTAATCACTACAGTATTCAAATCTTCAAGTCAATACTCAAGTCAGCCGTTATTTATTCTCATTGTCTGTATTTCTTAAATCTTCCTCTTTGGTCCATAACATATCATCATTCAGTCGCGATATTTGTAATGAGTGCAAAATAGTGTAACATAAGCAGTTGAAAATGTTGGAAAAAACTATGGTCGGTTCATTTTACCGCTCCAGTAAGTACCCGACTCCTCCTGCTATGCACTTACATTACAAGAACCAGACTAAGCCGAAAATAGAACACTGCTGTCACATTTGAACTGTACCTATTCAGTCCTTAATTTCCAGACTCGATGGAAGCCAGAAAACTCTCCGTGACCTTGTGGCTGACAAATTATATTCCACCCTACAACGCATTTCTCACAGAGGAAACTTCGCAAGCTTTCACTCGCTACTACCATGGAATACTCTTAGATGAACTCTATTCCTTAGTTCTATTAGTTCTAACCTTCCTGGCAAAGATCCGCCATGCTACGCGCATTGTAGCAGACCACTCCGTATTCCATTGGTGAGAAGAAAAGTTCCACTCGAACAGATACCTACCGTGAACCGCTGTACTGATAAAGCTACTTCCAAGAAGATGTTCTCAAGATGAATATAGTATTATCCCGTTCAAGTCTAGGGCTAACTGTTATCTTTCTCCTTCCGTATAAACTGTACCTCTTACTCTGTATCCCTCTACATCGAGTGGTTTCACAGTCTTTCACACAGTTAACCTCACAGTATCATACTTATTAAAAAACCCAGGTTGTGTGTGTGTGTCTGTACGTTTATATATTGGATCGGATATCTTACATTTTTCAACCCATTTCAACAAAACTTCACAGGACTACGTAAAATTACGTTGCGGTGGTTCTGACAGCGGCAAAAATTGGAAAAACAATTGTTTTTCCACGAAATCAATTTGAAAACACGATTAAGAGGCATCACGAGAATGAAAGGGGGGCAACTCATATCGAGTTATACTTATTATAAAACCCAGGTTGTGTGTGTGTGAGTTCGTTTATATATGGGATCGGATTTCCTATATTTTTCAACCGATTTCAACAAAACATCACTTTTTTTGGCAGGTAGTGTTTCTTATTGTCTTGCACACTTTTTTCTTTATTTTTACATTCAGAATGCTTTAGAAATTCCATTTACAAGACAATTGTTTATAAAATTCTATTCAATCGGCAGAGACTCATAACGATTGAAAACAATGTTTTGTTTGACCAATTTGGAAAAAAAAAACTAATTAAGACATGCGTGTCCGTCAACCTTAAACAATAATCTTTGTCAATTTTATTTTTCAGTCTTTATGATGGTCGATACTTGATCTATCTGTTACTGTTACATCCCCGTGCAACGCCGGGCTGTACTGCTAGTATATATATATATATATATATATATATATATATATATATATATATATATATATATATATATATATTGGCTAGTAGGACTATTGTTTTAATGAACATTTCAAAAAGATGTTTTCCTGCCATCAGAACCAGAATTTACAATCCAGACTGATATCAAAACTTGCCTTAATATGACGCAAAGATTCATGAATGTCGAGGTAGAGAGAAAGTCTTGATTGTTTTGCCTTGAATATCAGCTTCAAAAATATTGGATTTTTACCTGAACTTGAACAAACACTGCTGGCACCAGAGAAACATTTGCAAATATTTCAGAGACAAAAATGCGTGGGTGAGTATTGTTTTAGATGTCATATTTCTCGACCATAAAAGCATTGTGTTTCAAAAAGAAAACCACAATATATGCCATTTATTTTTGGAGTCTTTTCTCATTTTTCGGCATGTAAATTTTTCTTTTAACGAAATCTATCATTCGGAATATATATTCAAATTTTCTACCGCTCCTTTATTTACCAGCTTTTTTTTTTTTAATGACCTCTCCTACCTTCTGGCGGCCATCTTTCGAAGTTCCTGATGATTTTGTTCCTGATCAACCCACTCGCTCTTTTTTTTTTCCCAGCCTCTCAGTTGTATCATTATACCTATCAGTCTTTTACGTTTCCTTTTACATTTTAGGATTTCCTTTTTGCTTCGTCTTTTCAATTTATCTTTACCTCCGTCTTCTATCTCACCACGCCACCATAGGCCTACCAAGTCTTGGTCCAGCGCCACGTTGCCAACCGTGGCTTCATCTAAAATCAATAAAAAATAATCATGGCTGCCCTCAGAGAAGATCAATTCTGAATTCCCAGTGGAATTCTAAGAAACACAGAAGGGCAAATATGTCGGGAAAGAGGACTGTAACGAAATCAAAGATGCAAGACAAAAATGGTAAATAAATATGAAGTGTTAGAAATGTATAAAGAGATTTGTTTTTCTCTTTACCATGTAAAAGAAAGAAAGAAAGAAAGAAAAAAAATATTGCGCTTAGAAAGAATAATGAAGAGTTGGAAATGTTTTAGCTCTTTACGATATCTAAGAAAGAAAGAAAGACAAAACGAAAAATGAAGGAAAAACAGAAATAAATAAATAAATATGAAATAGAAGAAAGAAAGAAAGAAAGAAAGAAAAGTGATAGAAAAAAAAGAAAGAATGCAAAAAAGATATATTTATTTCGCATGTAAAAATATGGAATAGCTTGAAATGTGCAGACTTTACTCGTTACGAAATAAAAGGAAGAAAGAAAGAAAAAGAAGAAACAAACAAATAAAATAAAGAGACAAAGTAAATAAAAGCCTCAAAAGAAACAAAGAAACAATGAAAGAAGGAAATATTGTTAATGGAAATTATAATGATGAAGAGTTAGAGATATATGTTTTCCATCTTTATGAAATTACAGAAAGAAAGAAAGAAAAAAAAGAAAAGGGATAGAAAGAAAAAAAAGAAAGAAACAAGAAGATATATTTATTGCGCACGCAAAGAATATTAAATAGTTTGAAATGTACAGATTTTCCTCGTTACAAAATAGAAGAGAGAAAGAAAGAAAGAATACAAGTGTGAGGGATAAAGAAAAGAAGAAAGAAAGAAAGAAAGAAAGAAAGAAAGAGAGAAAGAAAGAAACGTGAAATCTAAGAGAAAGCGACAAGTAATTTCTCAATCAGACTTGTGAGAAAAATGTAAACAAAAATAAAAAAAGAAGAAAGAAAGAAAGAAAGAAAGAAAGAAAGAAAGAATGGAGGGAAAGAAAAAGGAAGTAAGTGAGGAAGGAAGGAAGGAAGGAAGGAAGGAAGGAAGGAAGGAAGGAGAGAGGAAGGAAGGAAGAAGGAAGGAAGGTAGGAAGGAAGGAAGGAAGGAAGGAAGGAAGGGAGAAAGAAAGGAAGGAATGAAAGAAAGGAAGAAAGAAGGAAGGAACAAACGAACAGCACTTCCGGGGAAAAAAGCAATATGCAAAGCAGGATATTATAAGAAAGAAAGAAAGAAAGAAAGAGTATGAAAGTCTCAAAAGAGACTACGAAACAAGAAAAGAAGGAAATTATGATTATATGTTTCCATCTTTATGAATTAAAAGAAAGAAAGGACGAAAGTAAACAAAAAAGAAAGAAAGAAATATTGCTCATGACAAAAATAGTAAAAGAAATGTATCAAAATATTCGTTTCTACTTACATCGCCTAGGATATAAGAAGACAAAAAAAAAGAAA